CTATGAATATTAAAGAGTTAAAGTTTGACAATATATGTGTGAGGAAAGATAAAGTGCCACCTACCTTTGTATCAGGACCTTGCACCATCCTGATGCTTAGATGTTTCCAACAGGAACCGTCCCACTGATACGCGTTCAAAAATTCTAAACCATGCAACGAGTTGTACAGAAGTAATAGTAGGTCGCTTCCGAAATGCAACACCAGCTCTCGCTCCTGTTCCGTTTGCTTGTGGACCAAGAAATGCTTATGGACCCAACTGCCCTTATGAAGAATTGACACGCAACCGCACTGTAATATGCTTTGTTTCATGGAGCCTGCTAAAGACTCATCAACTAGCTTCACTCCAAAGAACAGCCAACTGTCATCCCATGGCTCGCAATGATAAACGACACGACTCAACTTATCACACTGATAGCACAACGAGGCACTTATTCCAGTAGCGCAAATTTTCTGAAACCTTCCCATCGTCAAAATCTAAAACATATTGGTTAACAAGCTACCTAAACAGTCTTGACTGTTGTAAGGCAAATAACTAGTTTCAAACTTTAACGTAATGCTATAAATAATTTTAGCGCCATGTGTATACAACCAAAAGTGATGACTGTCAGTTTTCTTTATCAGATAAACCCTCTGCCTTCCCCGTCTAAATGGAATAGCAAAATTTCAGGAAGAGCGATGTGCAGCTGCAATCGCAATTGTGAAGTTCGCTGCATCATTTGAGAAAGCTTTGTCATGTAGAAGAACCTACTGATTACAACTTTGGTGTAAAGGATCGGTTAATTCTGGCCATTAATCCCTGCAGAAAACTGAATGTGTTTAATTTAGTTATCATAATCACAAACTGCGACGACTGCTGAGAAGAAAGACGAGAGACTGTTCTAACGAAGCCTGATAGATGATTTCAAGAAATTACGACAAAACAGTACCTTTCCCACAACTTGAATGAAGCAAGACCAACGCTGAATAGTAGTACAGCTCGAAGATATTTTATAGTCATCGTCGTCTCTTTCATCAGAAAATGAAGTATGCTATTATAAAAGCTTCATGAAATCATTAAGGCTACTAATGGGCTGAAGACACCTCTATCATTTTTGTGCTAACTTGAAATAATTTGTAAACATTTTATGCATAGTCTACTTCAAAATTACCATTCCAGTAAACCGCTATAAAGCATTTAACATTTTACGCTAAGCATAATAACCTGTTTTTAAAAGGGCAAAACAAATAGAATAGTTGGCAAAACAGAAGCAAGAAACACGTCTTTATACGAATTACCGTATTAGATACAAGAGTGACTTAACCAATGAAGAGCTGTTGCGCGATTGCCTCTATCTTAAAACAACTCTTTTTTGCAATAATGACATTATAGTGTCGACAGTTCAAACTTCAGCTCAAAAGTTTAATCTATTTAGAAGCGTACAGTTTAAAGGAACATATACAAAAACAGTTGTGTCGACGTCTATTGTAAAAGAATTCGGTCAACTTTAAAATAAAGTGCATATTCAGAAATATCCCTACGAAAAGGCATAAATGGAAAAAGAATCATTTCTATTAATCATTACTCTCAGAATGGAATTAGACCATTGACGATATTCTGTTAATCCGAAAACGCGAAATGCGGAAGTCAACAGTTTGAATAAAACCGCCAGAAATGTCGTATTTTAGCATGTATTAGATAACCAAATCAGCATGAAGGAATATATTAACCAAAATAAAACAGGTGCAACTTTGAAGGTCTGCGGCATCTTTCACCAGTAGGAGCTTTCAATACGCCAGTAAATGTAACATTTCAGGCATTGACACTGGATTTATTCGACGAAAACGTCAGCCAGAGACCCATGAACAACCAAGATTAACATGTAGCAAGCGTAGTGAAGGACTCTGATGTAGACCGCGGTTATCTTCTGCAGTTGCTCGTGTTAGCACAAGATCGGGAATTTCGAAAACACTACTAAAAGCGTCTCGTATTGCGACACGAAATGAGGCAATCAAAACTAGCTGAGTGACTTACTGATGCTTGTAACAGTTGGAATGTCGATCTTTCCTAACACCGTAATGAGAAGGCCATTCAGGTGCTATTATTTTTATGAGGCTAAAGGTGGGAAAGTTAGGAAAGCAAGCACCAGTTTCTAAATTGCTAGCCAGACATGCATTATTATTATTTAAAGGCAGAATCGACGGTAACAGTGTGATAATAATAGGGTGCAGTCGCCTGTGCCCATTCCACCGAGTAATACTCATTCACCAGCCTTGCAAATAAAAACGAGAAAACTGAGTGAGCCAGATCGGAAACACAAGGGTGGTAACTCTGGTTCTCTAGTAGTTGATTAATCCAGGTCTAGAGGAAGCGTGCAGCAAAATTTTTGATCAGGGAAATTCGTGTTAAGACTGGCTACTGGCCGCAAGAATCGAATCCTGTACTTTCTGAGCTAAAGGCCGATCTCTCATTACTGTACGACAATACCACTACTACGGTTATATGTTGATAATTAGTCCGCGGTTTCAACAATGATATTTTACGCGCTATTGCGGGACAAAATGCTAAATGCGATCGAACTTCGATTGACGCTGAAAACTTATGTATTTTTCATTTTCCCTCAACCCAAATGACATAACTGTCATAAAACCTGCAAATCACGTTAAAGTCAGTGCAATAACGTGCGTTTCTGGTTGGTAGGCGAGCCAGTACCCATGCATATGTAGTGGCTGGTTCTTGCGCGTTTGCTGTCTGCGCTTTTTTCTCGTATAATTCTGGAGCGATATTTTGCTTTTTCGCATTTCTATATAAATGCCGATTATGAGTATATATGCAAATGTTTGGCTGATTCATTTTAACGTTTTTCTTATTCGTTAGTCACGTCCGTAGACTATTTCATGACCTAGGCTAATTTTAGGTGATGAATGTTTCGTTTATTGATACATTTTGCATGGACCTTTACAACAGGGCTAGTTGATGCCAATGCAGCTATTTCTGTATATTTTTACTGTTCCTTGTTGATTATCATAAGTTTGTTTTGCACCTGAAGAATTGTGTGGTGAATTTTTAAGTTTATGTTGTTTATAGTGTCATAGTGATAAGTAAGTGACAAGTCAGGGCACAGTCAGACCTTGTCTTGATTTTCCTAATGCATCCTAATCAGTCCAGATGTACCTGCCACTCGTTCTGATGTATCGTTACTGAGCAACCGGCTCCTAGCTATTAGATCCAACGACGACATGCACGGATTGTCGTATTTTATTTGACTTATTTTCTGTAGTTAGGAGAAGCTTCACTGTTTGTGGAAGGTGAATAAGTGTTTTATTTCCACTTCTTTGTAGCGATGCAAGCAACGTCTTCCTGCATGTTTTGTATTTCTTTATAATTTTTAATGTTTACTTTCTTATTTACGGGCTATGGCTTATGCTGATTTAGTCATCTATCAGATATGTAACGGCAAAACCCAATCTTAGATCGAGCACATCGAATAACATGACCGTAAATCTCGCACGCTGTGACATAGTCATGCCAGAATGCCTTCTTGTCCATATTGATCACAGGTCAAAGACCTGCTACTAATGTTTCAGCGATGAAAGAGTGGGCCGAATCCAGTGCATAAGGATTCTGCGGTGCTTAGATTCGATTCTGTCCCTCTAAATTGCAACATAATATTGTATGACCCAGTTTCTGAAGATTTCTAGAATTATGGACAAATTAAATTTATTTCGCAAATCTATAAAGTCTTCATCCTCCTCATTCTCAACCGTATTGGAAAGGAATTCGAACTACGCAGAAGTCCACAACAGACCAGATTTCAAACGGTTTTTTATCATCATGACCAAATACATGTCATCCAGCAGGTGATGGAGAATTGCAACGAATGTCAAATGCTACTCTGTTTACTTTTCATCGACTACGAGAAACGTTCGATTCGATAGAATTGACTGATGTGTTAGCTGCCTTTCTTGAACAGCACATTGATACTGTTTACGTTTGTCTGATCGGGGAATTGGACATCAAGCTGTTTATTGAACCATTTAACATCATTACCTATCCAGCAGTGCTCCAAGGAGATACTATTTCACCATCATTTTTTACCGTAGCCTTGGAGTCCTCTTCAATCGACTTAACTGCTGCATAGAGAGAGAATGACTCACCTTTTATTTGCGGACGACGGCATCGCTTTCGCACAAGATACGATGAAGCTCCAACAGAAGATCCAGCAATTGCAAGAAGAATCTTTTACAATCGATTGACAAAATGGATAGCAACCAAGCACTACCACGAGTGCTCAATGTACGCGACTAATGAAGATCTGAAAGAAATCGTTCATTATGTGTACCTCAGCAGTCAGATAGATCACATGGACTGAGATGGATAAGAAGAAAAAAGGTGGAATAAGCTAGCTTTAGTCGATTGTATTAAAGTATCACTCGAGAATTAGCTGTCCATGAGGACAAGAGACCGAAAAAAGACAAGTATTCATATCAACCTTTGCCCTGTCTGAGGATAACTAAAGCCAGCGAGAACAAACTAGGCGAAGAATATACAAGTTGTTCATCCGGGATTATTTCTCAAGCGCGCTGATTTGACGAGGCGGTCTGAATTTTGGTAATTTTTGTTTTCTACGAAGCCTGATAATTCGGTGAATGTCAAGAATTACGAATTAGTTTCTACTCGATAATAAACACCTGGTTGTTCAATAGCACAAGCGCAATACTGTAATCAAATTGCAGGTCCGGCAGTGAAAATAGACGGTGAAGAATAGAGAATATTGGAGGAGTGTAGACTCGCGTTCATGATGCCCAAATAGTACGGACATTTCCAATAACGGATGTTCAAATTTAAGGTAACATTATATTGATCGAAGATTATGTATTATTATTTATATTGTGTTTAATGCCACATTATACATCACTTTTCCAAGACCAGATTCCACGGTGTATTGCACTGTCTTAGCTCGTAGTAGCCTATTGGACCATTTAAACAGGCCACAGGCTCCAGGGTATTTTTGTACCTGCAGAGCATGGGCGCATGCTGTTCCCAGCGATATGAACACTAAAATATTACCTCGATGTTCTTTCGCTGCCGCCGCTGAATATCTCACAATAAAAATGATGATACCGGATTGAAACGGGGTAAATGCACAGTGTAAAGAAAGAAAAATCTTTTATACCAGCAGCTCTATTGCACCGTCTCCTTGCCAGGAGGCATAGGCGCCTAGCTTGACCATTTAAGCAGGTCGCGGCTGCATGGTATTTTAAAAATTGTGATGAACTGACGCAAAACAGCACCACTAAAATAATATGGAGCTGTAGCATGCTTAAGTTATCCCCAGGCTACTAGATGCAAAGGGAGGGTATGCCGCCATGTGTAAATTAGGAGGATTGGCAGGAGAATAGTATGTTGATCGGAGGCATTAAAACTAGCAGTTTCCTAGCAAACCCATCTATACCTGGGTTATTTTTAAATTACATATGTATATTTGCATGTCTTTAATGGGTCTTTAATGAACACGATGTAACGAAGCCATTTACGTTCTGGTCTGTGTGATTAGTTCGTGAGAAAAAATCAAGAAAGAATTATTCAGGAGTAGTGACATTAAATGGTCGCGGAGAGCAAAACGATGCATTTTGTATGATCCGCGTTTAGATAGTATGCTCTTGTATCGTATATTTTTATATTATGTATGAATGCATGTTATTAACAGGCATTTAGTTACTCCGCCACTGCGATTTGTGGCGTATTGAAATTCCTCTTGCTGTTACGGGTAAAGGACTATTTAAACCATGACGAAGAAAATTGGTGTTGGAACAATTAAGTACCTGTTGACATGTGACTGCGTAGGAATCTGTTTTTTGTGATTATACGCATTATTGTATTTTATTTCTTTAAGCACACTCCTAAGCTCTACTTCTACAACCTCAAAGCCATAATAGCTCGACAACGGGCTCTCAACACAATGCATAGCTGAGCCGCTTGGCTGTGCAGGTTTAACCGGGCTATGAAAGTTTCATAAATATATCTTGCTGAGTGGAGGAGGCAAAAATCAAAAACTCGCTCGGATCGGACCTGCTGCTGTTTACTAGCACCGGTAACGTACACCTGCAAATCACATTTACGCGAAGCAAAGTTTCTAGAGCTGGGAGGAGAACCTAGTAAAAGCGAGACATTGCTGGACTGAGCAAAGTTGGTCGAAGGGAGGAATGGCTGTTAGAACTTAACATTGTACACCTCTTGCTCAACGCTTGGTCAGTATTGGTTTTCTTGAGAGGCCAGGGAATCATAAAAAGATACCTAAAACCTAATGAGAATGCTTTACAAGAATAGGATTCACGAAAGAGCAAGCAAGTTCAAAATCAAAAATTGCGTTCAACAGCAGGGAGATGCGTTCATCACAGAAGTCATTCATTCAGGCAGTAAAAGAGGTCTTAAAGACACTACGATTTAAAAGTCAGGAGCTGCACATCATTGGGCATACGGCTGACGTTATAATAATCTCAAGCTCATCAGAAGAACAACAAAGAAGGAAGAAATGGTTTAACGATGCCAGTGTCAAAGTTTGACTGAAAATAAACCTCGATAAGAATCACAATACGTGACCACACGCCCTGTTGAATTCAACGGACACTTAGACTTGAAGGTATGCAAAACTATTTCTATCTGGGGCAGCTCATCTCTGAAAAGGAGAATAGACCGTGTGAGGTTAAAAAAAGAATGCAAATAGTATGGATAACTTTTAGATGATTGAAAATGTTCTTATTCGGGAAATTGTCCTCGTGCTTGAAACTATAAATATTCAATCAATCTTTGCTTCAGAGTCTTGTATATTAAGCTATGGATGAAAAACATGAACCCTTAATCTGGAGGCTACTCAATAATTGCAGACTTAAACGATGCAGCAGGTAAAAGATGTATGCTGGGAATAGCAAGAACAGATAGGAAAACGAATGAACGGGTAAGAGCACAGAAAGTTTGCAATGTCACAACGCAAGTAAAGAAATTGTGAAGTGGTAATGGGAGGACACTGCAAGAATAACCGCTGGAACTGTGGCTGAGTTCCGAGAGACAGTAAAAAGCACGTCTGTCTATGGTAGGATGAATCGAAGTTCGTTGGATTAAGGTGAATATGAATCAGAGAAAACAGATGTTTATGCCGAGGTCTTCGTCAGGCCTTCATCCATCAGTAAATCACAAAAGGCTAATAGCGACTTTAAGACGGACCGCACTGCAAGCTGAATCACTTCAAGTTCACTCACCGTCTACTTCCATGACAACTTTTATTTAAATCATCAGCTCACGAATGGTTTTTCCAGTATGATCTTTTTGCGTCATTACAGCTATTCAGGTAGAGGATTACACAGTTGCTGCTGTAAATCTTCGAATAAAAATGTAGTCATTAATTGAATTATTTCCATAAAAAATACTTATGTAAATAGGACGTTAAGTAACTATTTAGTTTTTATTCGATAAGGCACTAAATCAGTGAAATTGCCTTAAATATGATCAAAATGTTTTTTTGAACTTTTACTTGTTGGCCGCGAAGACGATTTTAATTTATTTGTCGATACACAGGTTATTTATTTATTTTTTGTTAGTGAGTAACGAGATGATCAGGGACGTTGTCGGTGAATCTGATTCGACGGCGGAAGACGTGAGGAAACATGAGAATCACAATGCAATGACGGATGGCGAGAAAGATGCAGGCACCGTCACGGTTTCTTCAAGCAGCACCCAGATAATGGAGGAGGACCTGAAACAAAAGCTAGCAAACTTGTTGTCTCTCAGCGGAAGCATGAGTCGTGTAGTTGCCAAGAACTTGGAAGATGCACGGAAAAAACGTTACGAGTTCTGGAGTTCTCAACCGGTCCCACAGTTTGGTAAAATACTTCATTGTTATCGTGTCTGTTATATATTCATCATTATCTTAATCATTTGCATAATCATTTTCAACTACATTATCATAATGATCACTACTGCATCGTACTCGACTGAATGTCTATGTTCAAGGCTGCAGTCATTTCGATTATTATCTTAAAAATCACGGTTATCTTCCTCATTATCTTTATCATTTACATAATCATGTTTTTTGTTGTCTTCGTCAGAATTTTCCTCCAATTCATCATAGTTGGCACTGTTCTTCAGCACTTTTGTAATCATCATCGATATATCACGTTAACTTCATTAATGTTGTCGGCATCAGCACCTTAATCTCCATCTTCTGCCGCATATTCGCCAGCTTCGTTACCGTTTTGTTATCATCATGATTATAATCATTTACTTTACGATTTTAATTTTTCTTAATTGTCATTATTTTTGCCATAACTTTTTCCTCAACTTTTTCTTTCTTGCCCTCAGTAAGGTACTTAACTTAAAGAAATAATCAGAGTAATCATTAAATTTACGTGCATATTGGGTCCCTGAGAAGTCGGTCGTCGTAGAAGTAGTTTA